CCAAATCTCCAAACCCATACCTTTGTGAACATGAGAGTAGCTTTTTTGAAATTTCCCTAATAAAGTGGAGAGAATTTCGGTTGTTCTATGGATTCTATAGAATCTTCACCCAGCAAAGTGTGTATCAAATTATGCATATTAGAAGCCAGTACAAATTCTCAGTGACTGATCATATTCTGGCACAGTACACTTCTAGCCATTTGTGGAATTTACCACCTTATAAGAGTATGATGGTGCAGTGCGAACATCAAGCTCATTTTAGAGTTGACTGAGAAAATAAAGTACATCACACTGACAAGAAAGGTTTTGCTTCTTTAAACAACTTAATTTTTTTTTAAACAGGGAAGAGTTTAAATAAGTAGCTGTCCATATCTGAGTTTCCATACTTATTTTTAAGTTTGAAGTCTCTAATCAAAAAACTGAGTTGTGAAAAATGTAGTCAGACGAAGGGCTGTATCATGTATTGCACTCTTTGATTCAACACTGTATTACCAGCCTCATTCATTATGGTTAGTAATGCTCGATATTATTTAATTAAGTGAATTAACAGAGTAATGGAATTGCTTGAATTTATTGATCAGAGGAGAACAGCAAGAAGGTAACAAGTTCTGAGAATTTCATTCAAAGCGCATTGGCAGTCTGTCTTTCTCTAATCTATTTCAGATCATGCTGAGCCAACATGTTTTATATGCCTTTTTTCCCTTCTTGTCATGTTTGTAGATTTACTGTTTAAGTCTTCATATTTTTCATGAATGCCTCAGACAGCGTGATCTTTATAAAATGCTTGCTTAGAGTTATTTAAAACTCTTGCCAGGAAAAAAAAATGAGAATGGCTACAGGTAAGAAACAACTTGTGAACGTGGGCCCTGTTGGCATAGTGCTGTCTGTTCCTCTCTTCCCTGCAGAGTATTCATCAGCATTAAAAATGTTTTGATCAGGAGAAAAACAGTATGGTTACATAGAAGAAGAGAGGTAAGTCATCTCAGGCTTACTTATGCTTCAGATTTAGGCATTTGGTTCGACTCGCATAACTGCTTAAACTAGAATTTGACTTGGTTCCCACATTACCTTCTGACTGTTTTTGGTATTGTGGTATCGTGCAGTAAAACATTAAAAAATGGAAAAAGGGGAAAAAAGAATGTACACTACCCTGGGGGTACAGGGGCAGGTTGTGAAACTGAAAAAGATCAGAATCTTCCCACCTTCCCTTTGGTGGGCACGGGTCGCTCCCATGGCAGGAGAAATCTCTGAAACTAAGGGGTGCTAAGAAGATGACAGGAGTCTTTGGGAGAGGATTTGGCTTCTCCTTTGGTTCATACTCATTTATTTTCTCATTAACCAGCAGAAATGGATTCTTGCTACCAGTCTGAGGTCAGTATATGCCCTGTGGGATGCAGTTGTTTGTAATCAGGACTACGATGTTTATCATTGCACTCTGCAAATTCTGCAGCAGTCTGTAATGTGCAATAAATGACAGAGGAAAAGCAGCTCCTGAAGAATTACTTTTAAGAGTTGGGCTTTTCAAAGTGAACATCTTTTTGAGCAAGACAGGAACCTGGATCCGCTTCTGTTCTTGCTATAGTGGCCTCTTGACTGCTGCTTTGTACTCCCTTATGACTGGTGGCTTTACAACCCCTAGGGCTTCCCTTGAAACAGCCATATTCTTAATGACTCTCTTCTAACAAACTGTTGCTAAGGAACAGACTCCCCAGTCACTGCAGTTCTGTTTATATAATATCTGGTTTTGGTCTTAGCATGGGAATCGCTGA